ACCGAACAGTCAGTTCAGAGTTAAACGACTGACTGACTATATTCAGTCCACCCCACACGAGGGTGTCATGAACCGGGCACAAAGGCCTTTTTAACGTGGGCATTCCCGAGCCATTAGGTTCGGCCAAAAGAGCCCATTTGAACAAGCAGTCGTATAAACGGGGTTCTGGGCCGGTTTTACCTCCCGGAAGGGACTCCGCACTTCGGCGTAGACTCCTTCGGGTTCCTCCCGCCCGTAGGAAGAGAGTTAAACCGAACAGTCAGTTCAGAGTTGAACGACAATTTGACTGACGATAGTCACACATTCAGTCCACGAGGGTGTCATGTGGCACAAGGCCTTTTTAACGTGGGCATTCCCGGAGCCATTAGGTTCGGCCAAAATAGCCCATTTGAACCCGTATAAACGGGTTCAGGGCTGACGTTTACCTCCCGAAGGAGACTCCGCCCTTCGGCGTAGCCTCCTTCGGGTTCCTCCCGCCCGTAGGAAGATTGTTTAACCAAACAGTCGGTTCAAAAGTGAACTACGGACTGACGATATTCAGTCACCCCCCACGAGGGCGTCATGTGGCACAAGGCCTTTTTAACGTGGGCATTCCCGAGACTCCGCCGGCGGAGCCATTAGGTTCGGCCGTTTAGCCCATTTGAACCCGTATAAACGGGTTCAGGGGCCGGTTTTACCTCCCCGAAGGAGACTCCGCCCTTCGGCGTAGCCTCCTTCAGGTTCCTCCCCGCCCGTAGGAAGAGAGTTCAAACCAAGCAGTCGGTTCAAAAGTGAACTACGGACTGACAATATTCAGTCACCCCCCACGAGGGTGTCATGTGGCACAAGGCCTTTTTAACGTGGGCATTCCTGAGCCATTAGGTTCGGCCAAAAGCGTAGCTCCATTTGAACCCGTATAAACGGGTTCTGGGCCGTTTTACCTCCCGGAAGGGACTCCGCTGTATAACGGGTTCGGCGTAGCCTCCTTCGGGGTTCCTCCCGCCCGTAGGAAGAGTTCAAACCGAACAGTCGGTTCAGAGTTGAACGACTGACTGACGATATTCAGTCACACCCCCACGAGGGTGTCATGTGGCACAAAGGCCTTTTTTAACGTGGGCATTCGCGAGCCATTAGGTTCGGCCAGGAAAATAACCCCATTTGAACCCGTATAAACGGGTTCACGTGGGGCCGAGTTTTACCCGTATAAACGGGTTCCCCGAAGGAGACTACGCCCTTCGGCGTAGCCTCCTTCGGGTTCCTCCCGCCCGTAGGAAGATTGTTCGAACCAAACAGTCGGTTCAAAAGTGAAATACGGACTGACGATATTCAGTCACCCCCCCCATCCCACGAGGGCGTCATGTCACCCCCCCACGAGGGGCACAAGGCCTTTTTAACGTGGGCATTCCCGAGCCATTAGGCTCGGCCAAAAAATAGCCCATTTGAACCCGTATAAACGGGTTCAGGGCCGGTTTTACCTCCCCGAAGGAGACTCCGCCCTTCGGCGGAGCCTCCTTCAGTTTCCTCCCGCCCGTAGGAAGAGAGTTCAAACCAAGCAGTCGGTTCCGTATAAAGTGAACCACTGACTGACGATATTCAGTCTCCCCCCCACGAGGGTGTCATGTGGCACAAGGCCTTTTTTAACGTGGGAATTCCCGAGCCATTAGGCTCGGCCAAAAAAATAGCCCATTTGAACCCGGGTATAAACGGGTTCTGTGCCGGGCCTTTACCTCCCCGAATGAGACTCCGCCCTTCGGCGTAGCCTCCTTCGGGTTCCTCCCGCATTCCCCGTAGGAAGAGAGTTCAAACCAAGCAGTCGGTTCAAAACTTGAACTACGGACTGACAATATTCAGTCACCCCACCACGAGGGTGTCATGTGGCACAAGGCCTTTTAACGTGGGCAATTCCCAAGGCATTAGGCTCGTAAAAAAACCGGAACAGCCCATTTGAACCCGTATAAACGGGTTCATTAGGGGCCGGTAAACGGGTTTACCTCCCCGAAGGAGACTCCGCCCTTCGGCGTAGCCTTCTTCGGACGATATTTCCTCCAGCCGTAGGAAGAGAGTTAAACCGAACAGTCGTTCAGAAAAGCCCTTGAACCATTGACTGACGATATTCGAGTCATTCCCCCCCCACGAGGGGATTCATGTGGCACAAGGCCTTTTTAACGTGGGCATTCCTCCCCGAAGGAGAGCCATTAGGCTTCGGCCAAAAATAGCCCATTTGAACCCGTATAAACGGGTTCAGGGCCGGTTTTACCACCCCGAAGGAGACTCCGCCCTTCGGCGTAGCCTCCTACGGGTTCCTCCCGCCCGTAGGAAGAGAGTAGAACCGAACAGTCAGTTCAGAGTTGAACGACTGACTGACGATATTCAGTCCACCCCACACGAGGGTGTCATGTGGCACAAGGCCTTTTTAACGTGGGCATTCCCGAGCCATTAGGTTCGGCCAAAAAAGAGCCCATTTGAACCCGTATAAACGGGTTCTGGGCCGGTTTTACCTCCCGGAAGGGACTCCGCACTTCGGCGTAGCCTCCTTCGGGTTCCTTCCGCCCGTAGGAAGATTGTTCAAACCAAACAGTCGGTTCAAAAGTGAACGTGGACGGACTGACGATATTCAGTCACCCCGAGGGCGTCATGTGGCACAAGGCCTTTTTAACGATATTGGTCACCCCCCCCATTCCCGAGCCATTAGGCTCGGCCAAAAAAATAGCCCATTTGAACCCGTATAAACGGGTTCTGGGCCGGTTTTACCTCCCGAAGGAGACTCCGCCCTTCGGCGGAGCCTCCTTCGGGTTCCTCCCGCCCGTAGGAAGAGAGTTCAAACCGTGCAGTCGGTTCAAAAGTGAACTACGGACTGACAATATTCAGTCACCCCCCACGAGGGTGTCATGTGGCACAAGGCCTTTTTAACGTGGGCATTCCCGAGCCATTAGGCTCGGCCAAAAATAACCCATTTGAACCCGTATAAACGGGTTCAGGTCCGGTTTTACCTCCCGAAGGAGACTCCGCCCTTCGGCGTAGCCTCCTTCGGGTTCCTCCCCCCGCCTGTAGGAAGAGAGTTCAACCCAAGCAGTCGGTTTCAAAGTGAACTGCTGACTGACGATATTCAGTCACCCCCACGAGGGTGTCATGTGGCACAAGGCCTTTTAAGTGAACGTGGGAATTCCTGAGCCATTAGGCTCGGCCTTTTAACGTGGGCATTAGACCATTTGAACCCGTATAAACGGGTTCTGGGCCGGTTTTACCTCCCGAAGGAGACTCCGCCCTTCGGCGTAGCCTCCTTCGGGTTCCTCCCGCCCGTAGTCGGAAGAGAGTTCAAACCAAGCAGTCGGTTCAAAAGTGAACGACGGACTGACAATATTCAGTCACCCCCCCACGAGGGTGTCATGTGGCTTGAACGGCCAATATTTTAACGTGGGCTTTTTAACGGGCCTTCCCAAGGGCTCGGCAAAAAAAATAGCCCATTTTAACCCGTGGGCATTCCTGAGCCCCGAAGGAGGCTTCGGCGGCCAAATGCAGTCGCCATTTGAACCCGTATAAATTCGGGTTCAGGGTCATGTGGCACAAGGCCTTTTCCCGAAGGACCCCGTATAAACGGGTTCTGGGACTCCGCCCTTCGGCGTAGCTTGACCAACCTCACCCCCCTTCGGGTTCCTCCCGCCCCGGGCCGGTTTCCTCCCGAAGGAGACTCCGCCCTTCGTAGCCTCCTTTGGAAAAGAGAGTTTAACCAAGCAGTCGGTTCAAAAGTGAACGACGGACTGACAATATTCAGTCACCCCCCCACACGAGGGTGTCATGTCATGGGCTCGGCACAAGGCCTTTTTTAACGTGGGCATTCCCGAGCCATTAGGCTCGGCCGGAGGAAAGGTTCAAAAAATAGACCATTTGAACCCGTATAAACGGGTTCTGGGAGAAGAGAGTTTTACCTCCCGAAGGAGACTCCGCCCTTCGGCGTAGCCTCCTTCGGGTTCCTCCCGCCCGTAGGAAGAGAGTTTAACCAAGCAGTCGGTTCAAAAAGTGAACGACGGACTGACAATATTCAGTCACCCCCCCACCCGAAGGGTGTCAGTGGCACAAGGCCTTTTAACGTGGGCATTCCCGAGCCATTAGGTTCGGCCAAAAAGAGCCCATTTGAACCCGTATGAACGGGTTCTGGGCCATTTACCCTCCCGAAGGAGACTCCGCCCTTCGGCGTAGCCTCCTTCGGGTTCCTCCCGCCCGTAGGAAGAGAGTTGAACCGTGCAGTCAGTTCAAAAGTGAACGACTGACTGACGATATTCAGTCAGCCCCCCACGAGGGAACCATGTGACACAAGGTCCTTTTTAACGTGGGATTCCCGAGCCCGGTTAGGCCCGGCAATAAAAAATATGCCCTTTTTGAACCCGTATGAACGGGTTCAGGGCCGGTTTTACCTCCCCGAAGGAGACTCCGCCCTTCGGCGTAGCCTCCTTCGGGTTCCTCCCGTCCGGAAGGAAGAGAGTTGAACCGTGCAGTCTGTTCAGAAATGAACTACGGACTGACAATATTCAGTCACCCCCACGAACCAGGGTCGGTTTTTGTGGGATTCCCGAGGTGGGCTCTTTTGAACCCGCATAACGGGTTCAGGGGAATTTACCTTCCCGAAGGAGACTCCGCCATTAGGCTCCGGAGACAAGTTGAACCGAAGTCTGTTAGCTGACTGACGATATTGAGTCTCCCCCCACTGGGGAACCCACAAGGTCATAAACGGGTTCCAAAATATGGGCCGAACCCGTATAAACGGGTTCCCAGTTTACCTCCCCGAAGGAGACTCCGCCCTTCGGCGTAGCCTCCTTCAAAAATGGGTTCCTCCCGCCCGGACAGAGAGTTGAACCGTGCAGTCTGTTCAGAAATGAACTACGGACTGACTGGCCCCTCGGGCCTCCTCCTCCTGAGGTGCAGTATTTATTAAGTATGGAATAGTCCATTATTATTATCATGGTTAAGATCCCATAACAAAAATGAACAACATTATTCTTATATGCTGTTTTATTTTAAAAAGTAGCCATATTACGTTGAAACACCGCTTCTTGTAGGATCACCGACGTTAAGCAGCGTCGAGCCTCGTCAGTACGTAGATGAGTGTCCGCTTGGGAATACCAGTTAATAGCTTAGGTATTCGGGTGGAGTAATGGATAACGCCTTGTAATTTGACCTCGGCTCTTTTATTTTCAAATCTAGTCGATTTCGTTTTATCCATTAACGCAAAAATACCCTTGGGAAAAGATATGAATCGACCTCTTCTCCACCAGCTATGGGTTAATTAGTAATACTTTCATCAGTAAATCATTATTATCTCCAAAATTTCTTACAATCTAAAAATATTTTCTGGCTTTGAATAACCGGTAAATGGTTGATAAGCTGTAAATAACAAATCAATCAATCAATCAAAAAATGTAGAAATACAACTTAAAAGTAAATAAAGATGTACGCAGTTAATGGAGAAGGTTCTTTGAATTATTCAACCTATCAAAAGTTGTTTGCAAAGTGATTTTTTTGTTGTTTGCTGGAAATTTCTCATTGATCAATGCTCCACGGCCGATTAAACCGTATGAGATCGATCAAATAAAACCACTATTAGAAAAAATCAACGTTATACAAATCTCCCGAATTGTATAATGTAGAAAATATCCTAAAAAAAGCATTGAAATGTATTTACACCGGTGTTGGGGAGATGAACACACCTCTCAAGAATATGGCTGTGGTATGCTTCTTTCGGAGAGGACTGTCCATTTAAAACCCAAAAATGTTTTAATTTTGGGAAAACAGGTCACAAACGAAGCTACTGCAAGTTGAAAAGCAAAAGGAATACACAAATTAACATGCTGAAAGTAGTGTTACCAGCTAAAAACTGGAAATTACAAATAATAGAAAATTAGAGACAGTAAAAATAAATAACGCTACGGTGAGATTTCAATTGGATACTGGGAACGATATTACAATTATTGATGAACAAACTTGGAACAGAATTGGCAAGCCTAACTTGAGAAAAAAAGAACGACAAAAATGCAAGAGGAATATCGGGCAAGAAATTAATTTTTCTTGGAAAAATTACGTGTAACGTCTCTCTTGCGGTAAAACAAAAATGCAGATGCTTTTGTATTAAAAAATTCCAACTCGAATTTACTAAGCGTTGATTGGCTAGAAATATATGCACTATGGAAATGGCCGATTAACTTAAATTAATTGTTCTGAAAAAACATTACAACTAAAAAAAAAACATTGAATAAACTAAAAAATAAATTCACAAATATTTTCTCAAAGGAGTTGTGAAAATGTACAAAGTTAAAGGCATTTTAAATTAAAAGAAAATGCGATAGCAGTTTTTGATCCTAAAAGAAAGGTACCCTTTGCTACGTTGAAGTCTATTAACATTGAACTTGATAGGTTAGAAAACCGCGGAGTTATTTAAAAAATAGATAATTCAGAATGGGCCAAGCCAGTGGTTTATATTAAAAAGAAAAATAATAATTCATGTGCAGATTTTTCCACTGGGTTGAATGATTGCCCCCTCCCCTCGCCACATGAATACCTAGCATGCCGCTACCACTTCCTTATCAATGTATAATTTTGTACATTTTTGTGCAAAAAAAAAAAAAATGGATCAAAGAGCCTTCTCAGCTTAGTAAATATTTTCAGGAAATATCAGCTTCTAATTGGTCAATAAACACACAAGTGGTCGTTGCAATCCACCCACGTACAAATAATTTTCCCGCACCTGACCAAGTCAAGTTTTCCCGCCAATTCACTGCGAGCCTGTCTCGTGATTACATTATCTATAAATAGCAAACCCACGCTTGCTTCATTCTCTTTTCTCTTTTACTTTCCTAAATTCCTGCGAAGATGTGTTCTTAAGGATTCTCGTCTAGACCATGGTCGGTCAGACGTTAAAAGCTTATTCACGCATGCACGTAGGTACGAACTTTTCCAGCCTACATTACAGACATACAGAACATTTCCAAACATGCAGCAAGAACTTTTCTCTTTGAAATATTCCAAAACTACAGTTTGTTTAGCATTTCTCAGCTTTATAATTAATTGTGAGTTGAGATAAAAATATTTACGATCTAAGAGACATAACTCCAACAGATCTTTAACTTCTACGCATTTACATCAAAACACAAATAAATACAAATGTTATGTCTTAAACCATTTTGTTCCTTCTTGTATTTCATGTTATGTGGTATTTTGCGTTTAATATAAATTGTGTGGTCATGTTATTCACGTCAGCCCTGTTTCCTGATATAAAGTTAAATTAATGTGGTGAAGTCCGCCACAAATATCTCTCTACCAACTCCAGATGATATATTTGCCAAATTAAATGGTGGTATTTTTTTTAAAATTCAGATATTGTAACACAAGATTAGCGTTTATTCTATATTTTTTCTTTTATTTTATAGTGTTTTTCTTTGTTTAGAAATTGCAAATGTTCCTGAGCGAGGGATAGAATTATGAAGTTGTCGTAATAATGGCAGAAGCATTCTAGCGAATCCCTTCGTATTGGTGAGATGTAAGTTCCACTTGAGCAGCTTCTTCCTACGAACCGCTGCTTGGCGTAACCGACTCCCAAGAGAATTCTTCCCTCACCACTACAATCTTAACTTGTTCAAGTATAGGGTTAACCGTTATCTTCTCCACATGTCCACATAAACTGTCTCTTACTCTGTGAAGCTCTACCTCCAGCGGCTCCCGGTACTGTACAGGGTGAATATCATTGTAAAAATTATGATAGTGGAAAAAGATATGTAAAATAATAAAGATAAAAATTAATATCTAAGAACTACCTTTTTTACTTTGGCGAAAGATGGGTTCATGCCTTTTCAAACTGTATTAGTACGTTCTGAACTGAACAGACTCGGCCAGATTTGGAACTCGGTTCGCTAACTTCATTTTCAGTATTGATTATAATCTACACATCCATTGTCCTTATGTATTTATAAAAATAATTTGTGTTTCAGCTGTAATTTTTCATTTATCCATATTTCAGTGAATATCACAAACAAGTTCGAATGTAAACCTATTGGGGATCATCATCTATATGTGAATATACTGAGATAGATATAAAAACTGAGATAGACATATCTGGTCTGGTAATCCGACTACATACCTCGAAATTCTCCAGAAAATCCAAAGTCAGTAATGTTGTCGGTCCTGACCTGGCATCTCTTCCCTCTGTCTTTTCTACAAATATTTCCATGGTAGTTGTTCTAATGAGTTCTTCTTCGTACCTCGACTGTATGAATTTAAGCGTACTACTAGATATAAGTCTGGCATATAGGTTTCATCGTTTTACAGTTTAAATGGCTATATTCAACCATAAGTTCTATTCTAATATTTTCTTTTCTCGCACTTCTCACCCGTGGAACTCTTTTCCGATTTCTTGCTTCCCTGTCAACTACAATCTTAAATGCAACGTCAATCGTCGTCTTCTGTCTTCTTGAAGCCTGTTTTTTTTATTGTCTTTTCTCCTTGTGAAAGTCTTCTCATTCTCTTTCACTTCCAGTCGCCCCTTGCGTCTTATTGGCATTATCGCTTTGTTTCAGATGAAATGATTAAAAAAAAAAGATATGAAGAAAGATATGAATAAATGACAACAGATGCCAATGAGAATCTCTATCTATAAAAGACAGGATATGTGCGTGTGTGTGCGTGTGTGTGTGTAACGAATGCACAATTTTCGACGGATTTGCACCAAAATTTACATGCACATGTACCAAGTGAGCGGGAAGGTCAAGACCGACTTTGCATTTCCCAACTCCTATCGATAGTCGAAATAATCGATTTTTTCATCCTTCTACGGCAGTTTTCATGTAGTTTGCGGCCATTTTCTACTGACCAGAGTGAGAGCCTATAGGTGGATGCCACGAATAGGCAGGAAGATTCTATTGGCCAGCGTAAGAGCCAACAGCTGACTGATACGAATGTTAACTAGCATGCTAGCAATCAAAAAAAAAAAATCGATAACTGCATTCGTCACAAGTGGGAAAAATTTAAATCTGCAAAGAACTTTACTCCAATTGGCTCATTCGCTTGTTTAAACTCAACGTTGATTCTGATTCCGCAGAACTGGGTTGGGTGTGAAAAAGTATTTGTTGTTAACATTCTTTTTTCATTCGGCTTTTCCAGTTACGAGTCCTTTTTTTAAAGCTGATCGTTTTGTGTTCATTTTGTTTAGTTCTTTTTTTCGTAACAGATTTAATGTTTAGTATAGAGCTTAGAAAAAATTCGCAGTGTGAGATAGGCAAGAAGTAAGGCATGTAGCAACATCAGCACGGCAAAGGGCACTCCTTTAAAGGCAAGGAAGGGCAAAAATATTTTAAGTCAAGTGATAGCGATTGCTGTATGAGTCGTACGATTTTTGAATCAAGCACGGGTAACGCCGGGTCATGCTGTTAGTATTTATTATCGATAGAAATACTTTTCACGGTTTTTTCAAATTGTCACGGCTTCTTTGATAGGCGGATAATCCGACTGGCATTAAAAATGGATTCCGCAGTAATCCTACTGATATTAACCTACTGATAAAAAAGTGGGAAGTTTGATATCTTTTGATAAACGTTTCGATTAGTCGATACTGTCTCGAAAATGTCGCAATGCGTTAAAATCTTGTTGGGAAACTTAAGATAAACCTCATTATTTGGGTCTCTGAACACAATTCTCGAGCAAAACACGGTCATCGAAAATCGATAGGCTACCATTAACTCGACAGAGCTAAGAGGCAGACAGCGAGAGAAAGTGCACGGACGGCGTGACTGAAATATTCGTATCGAAAGTTTCTGGAGTCATTGCAAGGTTTTCTCTTCTATCACACACCACTAGCGAAGAATGGATAACTTAGGTGGGGGACACGTCGAAGATTAAATTTAGGCGACAATGTAGACAACTCTGACTTGCGGACAGAGAGAAGGAGATTTCAGACTGACAACTGACCGTGCTGAATAAGAATACAGGAATCCTTTTGCGGTTTTGCATGCTCTGCAGTCGCGACACTGTCAACTTAAAGCCTTATTGCCAACCCAAGCGAAAACTCTTTCGGTCATTATAAGATCTAATTCAGCCGGGGGGGGGGCGGTGTTGGTGCGTCTTCGTTAGCCTGTCACAAT